AATACCACACTTTGATGATGGGACAGTGAACGTTGTTTCTATTTTATCTTGCATAGGTCCTCCTTGACGCCTGTCCCATCCACCGTATTCATTTGGATTCCGATTATTACCGAATCCATTCCCTCGTGGACCACTTCTTGTCCCCATATTACTTCTACCATCATCTCTTCTCTAAAAAGATAGGTATTTAAAAATAAAATTAATGTTACCCTCGTATAAAATATGATGTTAAGAAATGATTATAAAATGTAATATTTACCATTACACTATCAATAAGTTCTTGAATGCGTTGACGTACTTGTTCTACAGCTTGATGTTTCCCAGAGACTATACATTTCCTATCGCCGGGGCCATCTTCTCGTCCTTGTTGAAACTGAACTCTTGCCCCAGTTTCTGCTTGTATTTTTTTAATCATATCGCCTCCTTTACCAATAACCACACCCACTGCTGCTCTTGGGACAAGTACCTAATTTAATACAAAACATAAACATACATGAAAATTAATGTTCAAATATTATGTATAGAAATTATTGATATTTATAAAAAATATGACATTGTACCTCCACCCCATCAGTTGTTCCAGAACCATGGTTAAAACTACTATCATTTGAGTAATTTCCACTCCTATCACTACCTCTCGCACCTCTATGAAACATTTGCATTTCTTTTTCTGCTATTAATTCATATACTAATTGTTTGGCATATTCAACTTTCTGTGGATCACCAGTTATCCTATATAAAAAAGAGTCTACAGATTTTAAAGTGTTTCATACTTCAACAATGATTCAATGTACTTATTATTACCTTAAAGGCTTTTCTTGTTCTTGAGAAGGTCCTTCTTGAATAACAACCATTTTTGCTCCAGATTTTTCTTGAAGTTGTTTTATCGTTTCTCCTCCTTTTCCAATAATTAAGCCAACTTTTGGTCCTGGAATCATTATTTCAACGAATCCTGGATGACCCATCATTCCTCCACTGTTTCCGCTCATGTCACCGATTCCTTCGGTTCTACTTCTTTGATTTACAATCGATAATACCAACTCTTTAGCTCGACTGAAACATACACAATTTAAATGTGCAATGTAATTTTGAATAATGCTAAGTTTAAATATAATCTATTAATATACAGTAAAGTAATTTGTTTGCAACACATGATGTGATGTCTACTGTGTACCAAAATATCATAAGTCATGAATGTCACATTATTTTTTGTTCGACAAAGAGTTATTTCTTAAGTGTATAATAAAATTAAATTTCATGTTAAGATGTTGTAGGCTTAATTATAAGCAGATTTAAATAAATAAAAATTCAATTTCTCTTCTTGTTGCGAATAACACGTCCCCATGCATATCCTATCCTCCTTCCTTCCTTCTTTCTCTCCATATCCTATTGAAAGCAAAAAACTATTAGTAAGTACAAAATTATTAAATTAAAAGCCACAACTTATTGATAAATTCTCAATGAGAAAATATTCTGAAGCGTATGTAAAGTCAAGTATGAGCCCGCTATTCGCATCCAGGAGCTAAGTAAAGATTCTGTAAAACATTTGACAATTTCAATATGCAAAAGCATGTAACCTACATTTAAGAAATGCATGTTAACATGAAGTGATAGCATATGGAGTATACTAAACACACGCAAACTATATTTCACCATTACTATTTGTGCTTGAAGCACATTTTCTAATGTATACAGTCAGTGTATATAAAGCATTATAATCTGTATATTACAACACCACAATTTTAAAACCATTTTGTCAGAATGAAATAGTTGATACTTTCAGGTGTTTCTAGGAGATTTTACAGTGGAACTAGGTGGATAATTTGTTATTTAAATAAATTATAATCTAATCAATTTTTTATATATCAAATACAAGGAGGATAGCAGGTTTGTTCTTCTGTACATGTGTTTATAGTATGTACACACATATATGTAAATACATATTTATATATATATGCACATAATTCTTTCTTCCTCTTTCTCTTCCTCTCTATTTATCTATCTATCTACCTATCTATCTATCTATATGTATATATATATATATATAAAATACATAAGTATATGTACAGATGTAAAATATATATTTTGCATTATGAGTGTGATTAATAGTGCCACTTGATATAACACCATGAAGTAATCCTTTGTTCTAGGTAAAACTTTGTAAAGTGGAAATTGCATTGCATACAAAATAGTTAAAATTAACAAAATAAGAAGGGAAAAACAAGTTACTTGACAGCTTCTCGTGAGCCAGTTAATGTGCAAACACGTTCAGGTAGCCCACCACTTTCTGGTGCCATTTGTATTTTACATCCTGTTTCACTCTGCAATCTTGTTATTTGTTCTCCACCTCTGCCAATTACTGCAAAGACATCATTATTTACAATAATTCATTCGAAAATATTACAGTAATTTAATTATAAGTTTGAATTTACATTAATTTCATTATTATTGATATTACTAAATTCTTTTATCATAATATTAATTCAATAATTACAAGATTTATACAATAAATATAGGTACAACATAATGATAAATAATAAATTAAAATGTAAATACTATGATTTAAATTTCATATGTAAATATTAAGAATATCTAAAACAATATAAATATATCCTTATGTATGTTAATAATTCACTGCTGAGAAAAAAGGGGATCTATAAATAAATATTTACTTACTTAGACCAACCATGTTATCTGGAACTCTGATATCTTCATTACAAATACCTCCTACATTTCCAATTGGTCCTGATGAAGATCCTGCTTGCCCTGCTCGTCCTGTTTGATTGATCGAATCTCCTAATGGATTACTTCCTGTTGCACCACGAAGTCCTATTAATGGATCCGATACCAATGACGCCAATTTTTTTGCTTCAGGTTCTACAATCATAATATATCAAAACTATATTCTTCAATTTTTATCTATAATTATCTTATATTAAAATTTGTTTAATACAACTATTACTTTATATGCAAACAGACTGTAAGTATTGTTCTTACATTATTTTTATATATATCTTATTGTTAAATCCAGTTAATTTAATAGTAAGTTTGTTTTACACATAGACATGACATTACCTGAGCCATCTTCAAGGGGTCGTTTTAACTTAGCATCTTGATTATTTTGAGCACCAGCTGGATTAATCTTTGCAGCTATCTAAAACATAATTACACTCAAATTATTGATAATTTGTCAATCAAGAATGTAATTAATTAAACTAAATAAATTTAAATGAGAAACTAGTAGTTGCAAGATAGTTTAATAATAAAAGTGTATTTTGATATATTTATTGTAACTATATTATCATAATATGTGCATTATGTGCATACAAATGACATAATTCAAACAAAACAAGTGAAAGATCGTAAATTAAAATTTATTAACATCATGACTATAATACAAATATTGGCTAAAGTTTATTTTCAGCAGGTTTTAAGGAAATTAATTAAATGTAAAGATAATGATCATGATGTTAAAATAACTTTATTAATGAAAACAAATGCATTAATTAATAAAGTTACGAGATTGTTGTTTGTTGATAATTAAAGTCGACGTATGGTTTTAACAAAAGTGTGAAGTGTTATATAGCCTACTTACAAGAACATAATTTAGTTATAATTTATAGGACATAAATATGACACATTCACTTACTTGTTTTGCACGTTGCAAAGCTGCCGCAAATGCGGAGCTTTGACTAAAATTTTGAGGCGGAGCAACCGCTGAATAGTCACTCATGATGGAACATGAAGCAACAATACGAATAAAACTATTCCAATATTTCCTTTAGTAAATTGCTATTAATAATTGATCCTGTGTGAAAACCTCTAATTTATAATGTTTAAAATATATTTCACACAAAATATAAATACTTCTAACACTGCTTTGAAAGTACACAATAGAATAAAGCAAAGGTTTATAAGTGAAAGAACTGTGCTTTCACAGAAAGAACAGTACAGCGCAAGCGTCGGTCATAGAATACAAAATTTTGAAGATTGGTAATTATTTCAGAATTAATATCTGAAATAGCATATCGAAATAATAAAAGGAAAAACAAGTAGAAATTCCTTCTACAAAATTTAAATTATATTTATTAATATATATTTAAAATATATATGGAAATAATATTTTACGTAATTATATACATCAAATTTTATTAGAAAAAACTGCAGATAAATTACAAATATTTAAGTTATTGTTTGTCTTTATTATAAATAATAAAAAGATAAATATTTAAATTCAATAAATGTAAATAAAATATATATACAAATTAAAGAAAGATTGAGAAATAGAACTTTGATGCATTTAATTTTTTAAATCCATAGTTTTTATATTTCAACTTCCTTTTATGAGGAAATTAATTTTCTATTAAAAAATTTCTTTTAATAAACTCATAATATTATGCTCATTACGAATTTTTTTAACAGTTGTTAATTGATGCAGATAAGCAACTTTTTTTACATGAAATAACAAATTTTTATAGAATATTGCATTATTTACGTATGAAATAATAATACATATTTTTAGAAAAATATTATGTATGTGCATAGAATTTCAATATATAAAAAATTAGATTTATAACTTATTATGTTGTTAAAAAAGAGGTTTCCAGAATAATTTACTCAAATAATTTTTGAAAATAATGATATACTACGCTTAAAAGTATTACTTTATAATAAGTATATTACTTGACATTTTATTATTAATATAATTTTTATTTAATAATTAAATAGGTATATACCATTAACTGAGTTATTAATTTAAAAATATGTTATAAATATAGTTAATATCTAATATTTGCTTAGTTAATGAATTGGTAGTTGCTTTTATTCGAAACTGGAAACACTATGTGTACAGTAATATGCATATATACATTATATATACATACATGTTTATACGTGCACATAGTTTTGTTGTATAAAACTAGTGTAATTATGAGATAAAGAAATGTCTAGTCATTTATCTAAAGATTATTTTCAACAGTAGATGTGGATTTTAAGTTTATTATTTGAAATTTCATATATATTATTAAATTTATATAATAATGGAAGTGTCACGTCTACAACCTTGTATTCCATTACATCTTTCAAAAGAAGAATTAGAAAGAGTTGTAGATAAGGCTAAGGATTGGGCACTTATGCATGGTACTAACTTATAAATATTTCATTCAATTCATATTCAAGTTAATGATCTTTTTTATTATTGCAAGTATATAATAATAATTTTATTAAAATTTAAAAATAACAATTAATCTTATTCTTGTTTAGGTATTAGTATGCGATCAAAAGTATCCTTCAATAAAAACCAAGTGGAAGTTTTACCATTTACTTTATTACCATCAAGTTTCCCTAGAAAAAATTTTGAGAAAGTTAAAAATATTCAAATATTATTAAATGAACTAATGCATAAAGTGGCACATAATAATAGCTTTCTAATAAAAAGTTTAAAAAGGTATTTCAAAATAATAAATTATTTGTTTCTATTTATATGTATTATAATTTTATATCTTTTGTACTTATAAAATGTAATTTTTATATAATTTTATACTTTCTAGCACAACTGATGCAGATCCTTTTACAGCAAAATTATTTAGTATATATGAAACCATATATAAGGAGGGATTTAGTCAAGTAAAATATTAACATAATTAATATGAATTTATCCTAATACTATTAAATGTATAATAAGTCTTTAAAATATTTTTCTCTTATAGACTTTAAGTCTTGGCTTGCTTCGATCAGATTATATGTTGCATAAAAATCAAATTAAACAAGTGGAATTAAATACTATTGCAAGTAGTTTTGGAGGAATAGTAGGAGTTACTACCCAGTATCACAAGTATGTTTATATTCCAAAGTTCATATTATTAAAATATTTATATATTTAAACATGATATAACATTTTTTAGACATATCTTATCAGAATTAGGACATGCAGATAAAATAAAAAATGTAAGTATGTTCTATTTTTTATACCTATTAAATTTTTTTATTCTTTATTAAACTTTCATTCATATTTAGATTCCAGAAAATAATCCAATTAATGGACTTTGTGAAGGATTAATACATGCATGGAAGTTGTATAATAATACAAAGTAATTGATACAACATAGTACAAATTAAAGTTGTGATTGTTAATTTTTACTTAATTAATATATTTTATTATAGGGCTGTAATATTATTTGTTGTTGAAAATATTACTTATAATATATGTGATCAGAGATTTCATGAATTTGAAATTTCCAAAATTAATCCTGATATTAAGGTGATCAGAAGAAGCTTGAAAGATTTAGTATTAGAAGCAAAATTGGGACCAAATAAACAGTTAATAGTGTATGTAATTTTATGAAATATGAAAACAATATAAATATAAAATTTTTATTTTTGTTTCCAGTTATGTTTAAATTTGACATTTAAAGTAATGATTAGAAATGGATAATGAGCAATTGTCTATATGTTTAAATTTACTATTTATATTCAAGGAAATTAAATAATTATCTTTCATTTTCAGTGAAGATTTAGAAGTTTCTGTAGTCTACTTTCGTTCTGGTTATGAAGTTGAAGCTTATCCTACTGAACAAGAATGGGCAGTTAGATTATTAATAGAACGTTCTCAAGCAATAAAATGTCCATCAATACAATATCATCTAGCAGGCACTAAGAAGGTATAAAAAATATTGATCCATTTTTATTACATGATATAAGAAACAAGTAACTTTTTTCCAGATACAGCAATCTCTGGCTTATACAGATGCACTTAGTTTATTTTTAAAAGATGATAATACAATCAAACAAATACAAGAAGTATTTGCTGGATTGTATTCTTTAGAATTTGTGAGTGTCTAAAAGTATTAATTGCAATTGTAACTAAAGTATGAATTTATTATAATATGTAAGATTATTTTAGTAATAGCAAATAATATTTTTAAAATATTTTTATACTGATCTGTATTTTAAGTAGAATAATGATGCAGAAACAATAATTGATAAAGCTATATCAGATTCAAAAAAGTATGTATTAAAACCACAAAGAGAAGGAGGTGGAAATAATGTTTATAATGAAGATATAAAGTTGCATTTAGAATCCATGAGAAATTCAGTGGAAAGAACAGCTTGGATATTGATGGATCGTTTTTATCCACCTGTGCAAAAGAATTATATCATACGTGCTTATAATGAACCATTTGAGGATAATCATTTTCAATTTTCTGACGTTGTGACAGAACTTGGTGTGTATGGTGTTATTATAGGGTAAGTAAAATACGTTTTTCTAATTCTTATATCTCTTTTTAATTCAATGAATTAAATTGACTTAGTCTTTTTCTCCATAGAGATCATGATAATATTATATATAACAAAGAGGTAGGGCATATTTTAAGAACAAAATCATCAAATGAAAATGAAGGTGGAATAGTAGCTGGAATTGGTGCTATTGATACCCCTTATTTAATTAGTTAATGTGAAAGATATTCACATAGTTATGAATTATTAAATATAGTTTAAAAGTATAAAAAACATATTTGAAAATTATATTTTTATCTAAAATAATGTAAATAATAAATAAAAAAATGTCGAACGATAATTTTTAGAACAATTGAATCTTATAGATTAAAAAAGAAAGTGAAGATAAAAAAAGTTACAATATAGAAATATATAGATATTATTGATCACTCTGTTTTTATTAGTTACATGTAAGAAAATATGTAAGTATATGAAGATCTTTTTAGTTAAATTGTAATAAATATCTATAAATATTCATAAATTACATACATAACTATGTACAGTTAAATTTGTATTTTATTTTAATTTGATAATTAAGTTAATGTATATTTTATTATATTAAACGGAAATCCTGTTTATGAGTAGGTTCTTCAGGTTCATCATCTGATCAATCAAAATTGACAAGTTTCATTTGTTTTTCATTGTGTTCTGTTATATTTTTATTTTGATTCTAAATAGAAAATAGAAATTAGCATAAAAGTTACTACAATTAGATACGACGTAAATACTTATTTTACCTTTTGTATATCTGTTACTGGATTGATGTATTCGTGTTCTCCAGGTGGTAAACCGGAAATATAATTGAGCGTGGGTGCGATATCATTTTGTTGATCATATGACGGGTTTTGAAAATGAATACTGTAAATTTAATAAGAACTGATATTTCTAAGCACAGATATCAAATAAATGTAAGTTTTTCATTGATTTACCTGAAATTATTCTTTGAAAAGTTTGGTTTAATTTTCTGATAATAAAAGTAAGCTAATGCAATTACGATGCATGCTACTACCGTGATTATTATACCGACTAATGTTCCGTTTTGATAACGAATACTTTCGTTTCTGCGACTAATTATACTTGAACCGAATTTAATTTTTGTATTTGTGTCTTCTATGCAAGTACTCCCGGAATCTTTTGGATATCCATTGTGGCAAATACAAGCGGGACCATCGTTCCTTGAAATGCACATGTAATTGCATTTATATTTCTCACAAACATTTTTTCCTGTTTCAAAAAATATGGATTCTTTTTTAAATAATTTAACTAGTAAAAAATTAGATTTAATAATTTAAGATTTTGTTACATAATTATCTATTAAACCCACCGATAGGTTGCCTGGTCGTCTGCAAAATGGTAAAGTACTTGTCGATATTTGATGTACCAATGGAAATCATTATACACGATTTATCACCATATAATTTGCATTTTTTTACAGTACCAGTTGTACCCATTAACCAATATAAAGAGTTCTCATATATGGTAATACTTAAAGCCTGATGAACCTACAATATTAAAGTATAGGATAATACACATCTCAGACGATATTTTCTTTAGATAAATTGTAAATTAATAACTCACATCTGTGTTTAAAATTACAGCACGATTAGAACCATCTAAATCCGAAGATTCTATATTTTTTGAAAATGTATCTGACCAATACAATCTGGATCGTATATAATCAATAGTTAATGCATAAACAACACCGAGATCTCGATATACAATCGCTGTTACATTAGTACCTATTGTGTTGGCTCGATATATTTTTGATGTAGGTCTCTCGTACAATGCCCAAGTAGTTTGACTCCAAAACAACCACCTGAATTGAATTTCTTTGATACATATAAAAAGGAAATGCCACAAGATAGTATTCTTTATTTTAGGAGCAACTTTTACTATCGTATCACTGTTATTAATATTTTTTAATCATGTGTCCAGAGGTTTCAAAAATTGTACAGCTTATAATCATATTTCCGTTATTTGCCGGAAAATAAAATTTTGAAATTCATCGTTCCTTATGCTTAGATATTTATGTGTAATAAAATTTTTTAACTTGTTTATTTACAATTGAATGAAATTGTTTTTAAATGTGGGGTACAAAAAGGGTATAACAAGTTTCGTAACTAAAACATACCCTTCTTTTGGTTCGATAGCAATAGAGGTTGCTCTATTACGTGATCCGATCGACACTACTGTAGCACACTTCTGCTGTTCTAGATTGCATACCTGTAAATTATAATTAGAAAATTTTTCATTGCCAAATAAAAATAATGAATATATACAAACGGAAAATGTTCGATACCTTAATACTGCTGGAATAGTCATTATCATTAAAGTATACATTATCGGTAATCCAATCAACGGCTAGAGCTTCTGGTCTGCCGAGGCCAGTAACAATCTTCCGTTCTTTGCTCTTTATGTATATTTTACTTACCATACCTAAGATTTCTGTATAAAATAATATTATAGAATATAATATTCAATAATTAACTATATTAATAATACATAAATATCATAATATATTATGATAAATAACTTTTTTATTTAATTGTACCGTTACTCCAGTAGACTGTGTTTTCCATTGTATTCACGTCAATACCACTTATTTCGGAATTGATTTCTTCGTAAATAACATCGATTTTATTTAAGTTTGGTGATAATTTTCTAATATCTCTACTGGTTACAGTAATTATTTCCATTTGTGAACCTGTAATAATAATTTGTTACAATCAAAGATGTCGATTACACATTCTCTTTAATTAAATAATTGTAACGAATGCAAAATAAGAATTAAACAATTAAGTATTACTTTACCAGCCACTTTGCACGAAGTTTTATCACTTCGTAAAACGTATCCTTCATGACAAGAACAAATAAAAGATCCATTAGTATTGTCACAAAGTTGTGAGCAAATATTGTCTCTACATTCGTCAATATCTTCACAAGATTTTAAGTCACTGCTCAATTGATATCCGTTTTTGCACCCACAAACAGGACCAATGGGTGTCTTATGACACATGTTTGTACAGGGATTATTTTTAGTACACGAGATTGCTGTAAAAATGTTTTAAACGTGGATTAAATAATAAATTTTGTTTTATTTATAGTTCTTTTATTTTCATTTCTTTTTCAATTCAATCATATTTGTATTCTATTAAGAAAAATTTTAGCTTTGGGGAAAACGAATTCCGTCAATAATATAAAAGTATGCTTTCGTAATATAAATAAGTTTTATTATATATTTATTAAAAATAGAAAATTCTTGAAAAAAAAGAATTATTTATCAAACAGAATTCTTATTTAATATTATTGTACATACCACATTCTCCAAATTCGTCACTCCGATCCAAACAATCCACTTTTCCATCGCACACCTTTGTAAAAGGGAGGCAAACCCCGTTGGAACATTTAAATTCTTTGCAATTAGAATTCCCGCTGACATCGTTCGGCTTCAAATTACCCTCACAGTTTTTTTCATCCGATCCATCGCCGCAATCGTTGAACCTGTCACACACCCAGCTTTTGTCGATACACTTCTGATTGTCGCAAACGTATTCTTCCTTTTGACATCGAACACAATTGCGTTCGTCGTCGTTCTTTGGACACTCTTGAATGCCATTACACCTGCAAAATCACGTTAATAAAGCGAACAAATTGTCCTTTTTATTCGTTCTATTATTTCGGAAATGAACGACGTAATATTCAAGCTTCATAAAACTAATAAGATTTCTTAATACTATATTTCGCTTTTTCCACTTTTTATTTGTTTACTCAACAGTATAATAACTAAAATAAAAGAATTCAATATTTACAAAGAAATAATTAATTAATATTGTAAAAGTAAAAATTAAGTTTAATTTAATATTTTTATCTTTTTATCAAATATAATAATTTAAAATTAGTTGCACATATCTCATTGTTAATATTTTATTTTCGCGAATGACTGACCTGACATGTTTGGGAAGACACATCTCCGTATTGAAGCATTTATACTCATCTATAGTACAATTGACGTAATTATCGTTATTCTTATTGCTGCAATATTGTTCATCGCTTTCGTCTTCGCATTCGCTGACTCCATTGCATTTTAGTATCAAATCGATGCAACGACCATTAGAACAAGTAAACATTTCGGATGGACATACATTTCTTTGACACGCATCACTCTCGTCAGAACCGTCTGGACAGTCACTCTATATTGACAGGCAAGATTGAACGATTATTTACTTAAAAATTCTAATAGAACAAGTTAAATTTTATTTTTTAAACTAGTTGTATATCAAACAAGTTACATAACCTTGTTTTTTTCTAAATCCTAACTTTTTATTAAATTATAAACGCGATAACCCCCTATTTTCATTATCTGAAAAAATATTGATCAACATTATTAACATTTATTACGTGTATTAATTTTACTTTACTTTAGAGAAGATTTCACTTTGCTCCTACTATTATTTGAAACTCATCTCGCTATCTTTTTCAATATGTGTAAGAAGAAGGAACAAATTAGCTGTATATGCACGCTCCACATTTATAGCTAAACGAATAAGGTTAATGGAAGTTGCAAACTCACCTGGCCATCGCATTTCCACGTTTTGGGTATACACGACCCGGATTCGCACGTGAAACTATCGGTATCGCATTTGTACTTGCTACAATTGATTTCATCGGAAAAATCGGTGCAGTCGTATCGTCCGTCGCACACAAAATATTTCGATATGCAAGCCCCCTCGTGACATTGAAACTCATCTGAAAGATATTAGAGTCATTGTGAATGATTGTTAGCTGCTTGAACACAGCAAAGGCCTTTATTCAGCCAGTATGCGATATCGAACATCGTTTTCCGATGTTGATGTTCCACGACAATGGTGTTATTCGATTCGGTTACTCGAACCCAACATTTCTTATTACGGCGAATAAATTGGCCGCAAGAGAACCGAGCAGAGACCTTAATAAACGTGGTCTTAATAAGGTAACCGAGAATCGATCGAAAACTTGTTTCTGTTTCCGGACGAAAAATTGAACTTTGAAATGAATATTAAGATCGAAAAATATTAAGAGAAAGAGGAACACTTTTCTACGATTCGTTATTTAAATCGATAAATACAATCGATGTCTAATGTTCTATCGAACATTATCGAACATCTATCGAACGAAATCAATTAAGTACGATATAGTTCGATCAATTTCTCTTCGATTGTAATGCAACAGAAATTACGACTAATGTATCTGCGTGTTTCGATTGTTCAAGCAAACAACACGATGGTTTTAAAGAATGTTAATTTATTGATTCAAATAGATATACGAGCTATTTAATAGTTTCATTCGATGATCTCTCGATTTTGCTCTACATTGTCGTTCGCTTTATATACACAGTATATAATTATCGCTTATAACTTGAGCACTAATTGTTCAAACAGTATGATTATTGTAGACGATTAACACGTTGTAAGTAATATTTAGTAAATGTTTTGATTTACTGGAGTCGCATTCCTTTTTATCGCAGCCCTCCTCATCGGAACGATCGGCACAGTCGTAGTGGGAATTACAACGTTTCGTCTTGCTTATGCATTCGCCACTTCTACACTGAAATTTATCCTGGTATGAGCAATTCGACCAATGGTAAAAGTCGCATATACTTGATTCGTCTTCTCCGTTAGGACAGTCCTGCTCTCCGTCACATCTGAAGTTGTTGCCAAACATTCGAGATCATTCGATATATATATATAGATATAAATATCGAGATATGCATATTCGCGTAAAACTGTTAGATATTCATTCTTCAAATTTACAAGCATATTTTGTGCTTCAAAATGAAACAAGGTATATATCCATTATTTTATTTTTCCACTCGAATTATTAATTTAAAAATTATACTATTAAATAGTACTTAATAAGTGCAAGAAATATCTTTTACTGATAATCATGATTTGGAGATACGTACGCTAAGTGACTAGAAATAAGAATCGATTAGACGTTACAGGATTTGTACAATAGGACTTATCTCTTAAATAATTTATTAGCGAAGTATTCGTTATATATACTAGTAAAATTATGAAAAGTATCTTCTAAAGAATAATACATTAGTTATCATAGAACAAGTACTAACCATGCTTCAGAGTTGTGGATTTGTAATTAATGAACGGATGAAAAATTACAGGATACTTATAAATCATCGAACTTCATAATTGAATCACTCGATATGATAATAACGATATAATAATACCTTTGATGGAATTTTATGCATACGTCGTGTTCTCCACATTTTATCTCGCCAGGATTGCACGCGGTTTGAGGACTACACGTTCGATTATCTACGTTCAGCATCATATCGGGCGGACAGGCGCAAATCTGAAAATTTTAGTTGAATTTAAGTACAAAATTATCGAGACACGAAGAAACTGAATTATTAATTGAAATGTTTTAGGCTTACGTATGGAGAAGTATTAGATAACAGACACACGTGAGAGCAGTTCCCGTTGTTTTTGTGACATGGGTGTTCTTTTACATACATTCCATGCAAATTTACCAATGACGTCCTGTCCAAGTCTTTAGGCGCCTCTGAGGAATAGGTATTATTTTTTTATTAATCAGTTTAACCTTTTGTTTATCTCTCCTGAGATAGATTGAATCACATGATTAACCATATAGTGTAATTATTGCATTTATTGCGATTAGATTGATAAAGTATTTATTTTTCCTTTCCTTTTATTTCGCTGCTTAAAATGGCAAAAATAGAAAAATGTTTATCAAAGCTATTTATCCCAAGTCATTTCGTTAATCAGTTAATTATTATAGATTAGCCCATTGATTAACTATCCAGAAGATATACCTAATTGCGATTGATCATTTAACTTGGTTAATCGACTATCAAAGGTATTACAACTCGTTTCATCTCACTCACGCAATGTAATACGCTTCTGATATTGCTGTGTGTTGCTCTTGCTAGTCCAATACAAATGATTCGACTTATATTGGGTCCAAAACACGAAATCACCCAGAACAGCGAGACTCACGGGTTCTGATAATCCAGTACGGAAGATATACGTTTGGAAACCTAAAGAGATAATCATAATTATTAATAATAATTATTTCGAGTCATATGCTCAGCTGCAAAGAAATGGTACGTTCAAAAAAGAAGATATTTAACTTCTCGATTGTTCGTGCAATTTAATAATTATTATTTACAATCTTAGGAATCGAAGAAGAAAATTATCATACTTTGTTTAAGAACGCTTTTTAGAGCGAGCTAATTAGATTATTAACTACAGCTTCGCGTAAAATTTATCGAGTTCCACTGCTTTTTGTAATCATAGGTATCTTACTGTTCTAGAAATACAGACCTGGTATGGTCGTACTACCGATACGACCTGTGGTTTGGTCACTCCAAAACAATTGCTTCAAATCTCTGTCGTAGCTCAAGGATATTTTCGGTCCAACTAACGGAGTTTTGTTTCCTTCGATCGTGATTCTTCGACCAAGCCCGTTCATACTCATCAAGTCTATGCGATACATTTTATTCTCTCGAAATACGACCATCATCATACTGGAACATCAACGTGTAGTAGATATTTTGCTTTAGATAACGAGAAAAGACATAAACTTATATCAATAGTTTATTTTAGAAATTTTTTCTTTACATTCTAATTTCTGTATTCTAAAATAGGACAATTTTTCATTAAGGCAGATGACATTATTTTAAGATTGACTTCTTCTGTTTCATATATTGATTGGTACATGAAAATGATTACCTTTCTTCCGGTACAAGCACAATATCGTGAGGTTCCTCCTGAAAGTAAAAGATTGTTTTCTCGTTGCTGTTTAGACTGTGCACTTCGATGGTTTTCTGTTTCAAATCCGACATATACAGATTATTTCCAAGATAGTCGAAATCCATTCCTCCTAGTACTTGGTTCTCGATAGACATTATGTTCTTCAAATCACCATTATGCATGTCTAAATGGAAGATCTTATCTGTCAGTTGGTCGCTGGCTAATACACCACCTGTGTCAATTTTCGTTCGAATATAATGTCGAAGACGTTTAGAAACATTTAAAAAAAATATTTAGAAATATTTAGAGAAAGTTTATTTACTGGTATGAATAAACTATTTGTCATTTATCGATTATTACAATCGTACCAGTAAGGGGATTATAAGTGACCGCAGTGACGTGTTTTACTGTGAAGTTGGTCGTCATTTTCGGTTTTCCTAGTAGTTCGTGATAGTAATCTATGAACGTGTTCCCAGCTGCGATAACTAGATGCATTTTCTTCTTGACCGCTGAAATTTATTTAATTCGTGACACGAGTAAATCCGTAATTTAATTCAATTTAATAGAATCGACTACATGTTTAATTCATCTAACTTATGGCAACAGTATGCAGCTTACCACGACATGTATGTTTATCATTATTCAATACTTTGTCCACTGTGCAAGCGCAAGTATAGCTATTCTCTGAATTTAATAGGCACAATTGCGAGCAGGGGTTCACATTGCACGGATTCGGTATCTACGATTGATTAATTAGTATTTCATTTTATTTTTCATCTAAAATGACTGAACAGAGAGTGGTTACCTTGGGTTTCAGAACGGAGTGATATATGTGTATGCCATAAATGGTGTTATTCGTGTTTATTAAAACTTTCCAATCTTTTCCGGTGAATTTATCGCATGATTGTATGGTATTGGATATCCAGTCGCTCCAGTACAATTTATTTTCGAATACGGCTAACGAAATCGGTTTCTTTGCTATGTCTTTTAATATAGTCTGAGGAAACATAGATAAAAAGAGTGGAAATAATTTTTAATCTAATCATCGCTCCTAATTAACATCATTTTGATAATTGATCGAGTAAAAATGATATAGACGTATGAATATATTGAAAATGATACATACCCTGCGATCTGTACCATCTAGTCGTATCGATTCGATCACTTTTAGTTTAGAATCTATCCAATACAATCTATTGTTCGTATAATCGATAGATAGACTGTTTGGCCATTCTAAGTCTTGATTAATTAACGCGGTAGCATTTTTGCCATCCATGCTCGCCATTAATATGCTCGAATTCGAGCCCCATTCAGTCCAGTATAATAAGCTTGAAACGAGTTTGTTATATATTTTAAATGATTTGATTACAGAGAAACAATGGTACTCCAGTTATAATGGACGTTTCACAAGAATAATAATGATACCAAATTTGATGTCGCTTTAAAATATATTTAACGAGATGGAAATACTCTTTATTTATTCAAACGTTAAATATACTTCCGAATTTGGAGTTATCAAGCCTCTCGCGTTAGAAATACTCACCCACTCGATGGTAACAAGGCAAGACCTCGTGGTTTATTATTTCGTTCTTTAATTATAACGGTGCAATAAGAACCATCGTTGCTGCAAACTCCAAGATGCATGTAACCACTGTCTGTGAAATATATGTTGCCCGTTACCCAATCCACGGCTATGTCGTCAGGACTGCTCAAACCTAAAGATATTTTTAAAAATATTTTTAAAAATGTTTCCAAAAGCTGGTGTTTGAATTTTGCGTATCGATATTAAATCTGACATTGCATAGTATTATGGATGAACTTTAAAATCCATACCTGTTGTAACAATGATGTTTCGCTCTGTGCCATCCTCTAAACTTCTAATTATTACCTCGTCTTCGTCCTCAACGTCGGACCAATATACATAATTCGCATCTAAGGAAACAGCAACGGCGTGTTTCAAGTTCTTAGTTACGGGATAATATACTTGAGAATCAAGATAGTAGCCATGGATCTCTGATTTAATAGAGAACACTAACAAAGCTTCGCCACCTATAAATAAACGACGAAAGATTATTTAATCGGTATTCCTTTTCTTCCACAAGCTCCACTTATTATATTATTCGTAGAATAAACAATCTGACATAGATAAGGAACAAATTTTCTGATTACTCTTGTAAGGTATGAAACAAAAATTTATGTACCTTCAGCCTTACAAGTCTTCTTGTCATCGTTCAAGATGTAACCAGTTTCACACGAACATGTATATGATCCATTATTATTGATACATCGTTGATCGCAGGTTCCATAATTTTCGCACTCGTTTATGTCTAAAATAGCAGTCAAATAATTTTAAAACCCTCTTCTCCGATATTAAATTGCATTTTATCGACTTCTATTCGAATTTACGAGTTCCAGCCATAGGAATACACATACAGTTGCGGATAAAAGAAAATTTAAAGTTAGCATTCATAATTAGCAAATATGAACGTCTGTAGATTTCCTATACTGCTTATAGTCTAACGAGTATAGCATAATAACGAAAATAATGATATTTCTGGAAAAGTCATTATTTAATTATCTTCCTTCATACTGCCTCTACATTCAAACTTTCTTTTGTCCGCCACAGTAGTTAATTTTCATCTTTTACCAGAGCATGTTCGGTTATCCGACAATTTGAAACCCGATTTACACGAACATCGAGCACCTTCAGGCGTTTTTCTGCAATAGTGTTCGCATTTTGCTATCTTCTTGCATGATGCGTCAGCTGTAATTTGAAACGATTAAGATTCAGTCACGGTCACGAACAGGGATTACAGTTTCAAAAATTATCATAATTAAAATGCCCTTTTCTTCCTCGTTGTTACTTACCTTTGCTGCATTCTTCTACATTCTCGTCCGAATTATCGCCGCAGTCGTCCTTCCCGTTGCATGTTGCGTTCAAAGAAATGCATCTTTTGTTTTTACACAGGTATCGATCGTGTTCGTTGTTGCATTTCTCGATGGGTACCGCGTTGTCCCCTGTGGAATAGAAAATTCCGATAGCTTACTCGAAATTTGTGAAACAAAAAATCGAAGCACACGCGTTAAAACACCGTGTGGGAAATTTACCGCATTTCTCTTCATCGCTGTTGTCAGGGCAATCTGAGACTCTGTCGCAAACCCATTCGTTCCTTACACAGTGACCATCTTTGCACTTGAAAGCGTCGCATTTTAACTACAATTAATTATAACGAAAAAAATGTAATAAAGTACGAATCACGAAGACGATGGCGATTAGTATAATTCCCAATTACGTTCACGGTATAGTACAACGAAGAAACAAAACGCTTATATCTTGCAGAATTTTGCATCATATCATTCTTGCATTAGGATTATTACACGTAGAAGGAAAAATAGCATATCTTATCTCACGATTTGACCGATTTCAGCTAGTAAATATCTGATCAATCATGCCGATGAATAATATCAGGCGTAATTATACGTTTAATTATGAAAAATTTATGTAATATATAAATAATAAACGGCTAATGAAATATTTGCATTGTTGATAAACAGATGAAAATCCTAATAGCGATGAATATGTTTGTAATCCGTAATGCCGATTAATATTTAATTGATGTTTAATCCTAATTCGTTGTATATAGTATTTAATTTTATGCGTTCGTTCTTGAAGCACCGATACCGGAATTTTTCCCTTATTCGATATGAAGCGGAAACTGGAATGCTGTCTTACATTTTTCACGCAACTAGCGAATTCATCACTTCCATCGGGACAATCAGTTTTGGCGTCGCAAAATTTTTCTGCCGGTATGCAAGAACGATCGGAACACTGGAACTCGTTTTCCGCGCAACGAATCATGTTGGGGTCGAGCTGAAACAGACAGACCAATTGTAATTTTAATTATCAGGCATTTCGCATTTGGCATTACCATTTCGTCGCTAATTATGATCAATGGAAATAATTAAACGATAATACTTAAATTTCTGAAAGATGGAACGAGAAATATCGAATATTTAGTAGGTTCTATCTGCCTTAGAAAATACGATGATAAATTTTAAATATCGAATATATAGAATAGTGGAGCCCACTTTGATGTACGAATTTGGACGCTTATATGGATTGATGACTTGCTGGAATTCGGTTGGAAGAATGGATGAGTGTGAATATCAAAAATAATCGAAGATCAAGGTATCAAGTTTTCTCTCAGCTGATCTCAATCGGTTTGAGGTTCATTCCGAGTTCTTATTTTCATTTTCAATTCCCAGAATTGCCAAGGATATCAACGGACGTCTAAGAGGGCGAAACTTAAGATGCTAAAGCGGGCACTACAATAGATAATTTATATCCAACGATAATTAACATATGAAAATATCTCACCGTATAATTCTGACAATCCATTTCATCGGACTTGTCACCGCAATCATCCGTCCCATCGCATTTGAAGAAGGTTGAAATGCATTTCTCGTTCTTGCATAAGAACCAGTCAGGTGGTTCGCAACGTATGACTTGAAATTCGAAAAAAGAAATATGTCAATAAGTGTGCAGTTCTTACTTGTCGAACTTAATCTGAGATATATTTCATCGAACTTACTCGCAGCGTCGATGATTGGATAGAAGGCTGCTACCACGAGGAACACGAATAAATTCCGATACATAATCTGCAATGATTTTTATCGAATTTAGATCAAACGATTTGAAATTTTTCTCAATGAACTCGATCGAGGTGACTTGAATGAAAACGATAAGGAATTATCTATGATTTATCGTGATATGGTCTACGAGATTTCATTATGTTACGATCAATTTAGAAGTCCATGATACAGCGAGATTACTAAAACTGAAACTTTCGAGCGTAAGTGGTAGACTTTTAAACAGATTGCAAGTTTCGCAAGTATTGCAATTAGCTTCATCAGAGATTAAATGACATAATGCTAATAGTGCATGTCTGATATTACGTGCCTGTTGAAATTCAAAGGAATATGCACAATTCTGTATTTCAAGAGCAAATTGTTACAAGACACACACCAATATCACTGTGTCATTTAAAATCTGGTGAAACTATCTGCGATACTTGCGAAGAAGACATAATTTACGTTCAAAAATCTCAGTTTGAACTCACTTCGTCGATTTATAAAATTTATACCATTTTTGTTAAATATTTTCTTATACAATTTGCTCAGAATGCTTTATATAGCACTGATATCCATTACTCGTTCATTTTCAGTTATAGCTTTTACAAATTTCGATATTATAGAATGTTATAAATCATGGATGTCGAATAATGAATAAGAAATTAATCGATACCTTTTATTCAATACTGCTAATTATCGGTTTGAACTACGTTTTATTACATGATTGTACCTTAATGCGAAATATCTCATAGACTATATATATATATACATATATAAATTATCGGGAAAAGAATTATTTCATAATTTATATATAATTCATTAAATGAAACTAAAAGTTTGAAATTAAAAATTATTGTTATAATTTGATAAAATTGATTTTTATTACGTAACACACAGAAAGTGAGGATGAAGATAAAAGTATAATATTCTAATGAAATTGATTGAGTATACTCACGGATATTTTTCACAGCATGTGTGAAGAAACGAGATACAAATTAATATCCCTATTCGAACTGTCCTTAACGGAGTTTCTATAAGGGAGATGTATGTATCGAAATTTTCGGATCCTTCTTACCACTACGACTGTTACCTAAACACTAAAGGCCGTTACAAGGAGCGTACCAAAATTATATAGTTGAGATCGTTTCTCTATATGTACACACATAGCTATGAGCGTGTCTGTGTAGATCATTATAATATATTAATACAGATCTCGAATTATATTTCCTTTTCTCACGATTTCAACATGTTCAAATATTAAACGTAAAATACTTCACACGTGTATTCCATTTGTCTAACATTTATTAAATTTGACATTAAAATTAAAAAATTGATTAAAGACAAAAGGGAGAAGATAACTAAATTACGATGATAAGGTAATAATTAAACGTGTAAAAAAAAAGTTTACAGTGATTTTGTATATAGCATGTGTACACACGTGTTCTAAAATAATAGATTGTTCGTTTAAAAGTTATTAATTGTCGTAAGTTTCACGTGGCTAGAAGAAACTGTGTATAAAGGTACAGGTGTCATAAGAAATGTATACAAACCGTTTATTCGACCACGTACGTTACTCTTAAGTTTAAATTTGCTCGACCTTTACTAAACTTATTAGAAACGAATGATGTATCAAAATTCAATAATTCAACAACTCCTCATATTAATTCTCATAATCATTTCTATTATAACGTCTATGAAAACGTTAAACGTACAAATAGCTAACAAACCATATCCATTCTTTTTCAAACACTCTATTCTTAAATCTCAATACGAAGAATGACTATAAAAATAAATTTATCGAAATGATTCATATATATATAAAATTAGATAGCTATTATACTTTATTTATTTTACGTTCTTATTATACTTCGGTATATAATTTCTTTGTTACTTCTTCGCCTTTTTTCTCCGATTTTGAACGAAGGAAAAGCAATAATGAATAGCTATAGGAAACATATATTTTTTCACATTTGCTATGGGTGAATCTTTCGATATTACAGTACTGAGGGCAGTAAAGAAGATAACAAATGCCTGACGACCGTGTGACAGTGGTTTGCCCCATCGCTGTTGCAATGACCACCACTTTATTGCATTTCGTTCTTTCGGCCAAGCTGTGTTCGCTCGTTGTCACGAAAACATGCCTCGTTGCTTAATCAAATCGATGACAAGGTACAGAAAGACCAATAATTCCTCCGAAGGTAAGATGCTACATTTCTTTGCTGTATAGTAAGCTACAATGTACTCAGAGATGACAGTAATATCTTGGCGTGGTTATGGCAAAAGAAGTATAACGTATAGCTCCGTAAAGTACAACGTAATCCGTTCTGTTATTGTTTGAAAAGGTGAATCGTATTTTTGCCAGCAATTATAGGTCCCCCTTCAGCTAAGCGTTTGTTAACGATAAATAAGTAACTCCGAGCATGTATCGTATTTATTATGTCGTACGAAAATAGAGAGAAAAAAAAAGAAACATTTTTTCGTGTATTAGCAGAGGCAGAATTACCATGGACACCGCCATCGTCGGTCGACGCTAAGAGAAAACATCATCAAACCAAAGACAATTCTACAAAGTGTAGCAATATATGGACCTCCTCAAGACTGCCAATTGTAACACGCTACACGTTTAACAAAGAGAATAATATGTTATGGAACAAGGAATTGAACGTAGGCAACGTGGAATTAGGCGTGAGGAATTTTTCCGAGATCGAAAATACGATGTCGCCAATCATCGCCAATACTTCCATTAAAGCCAATCAGAAGATGATGGACTCGAGTAACGAACAAAAGATAGAGAAAGTGCAATTACCGTTGTCATCGAACGTTAGAAAAATAGAGTATCCGGTGAACGCGACTAACGAGATCAAGGTGGCAGTAAATTTGAATAGGACGACGTTCGACGGGATCGAGAATCAGACGACCTCGCAGGCTTTGTATCTTGCTTCAAATAAGAAACAGATTGATTCTCAAAACCAGTACTTGGGTGGTACTGTGAAGGCAACAGGAGTGGAGAATCCGCAGAATTGGAAACGGAATAAAACTATGCATTATTGTCCCTATTGCCGTAAAAGTTTTGATCGTCCATGGGTGTTAAAGGGTCATCTTCGTCTGCACACGGGCGAACGACCCTTCGAGTGTCCGGTTTGTCATAAGTCGTTCGCCGATCGGTACATACTCTTCCTCTTCCCCTTTTGGTTGATATTCAGTTTTACCGATACTCTACCGGCACGTTACAATGAATAACGATGACATTTCTCTGAAATTAATATGACGAAACGTTGAATGAAATTGGAAAATTTATGACGAAGACGAAAATGACGATTATGTATCGCTTGATCTGTGTATTTTGTTGAAACTCTTTGGTTCATTTATTTTGTAGGAAATTATTCGATTATACTGTATCCTAGTAATTATGTTGATTTGTAAAATTAAGCCTGCAATGTAACGTACATATTTTGTAGATCAAATTTACGTGCGCATCAAAGGACACGGAATCACCATCAATGGCAATGGCGATGCGGAGAATGTTTCAAAGCATTCTCGCAAAGACGATATTTGGAACGACATTGCCCCGAAGCTTGTAGAAAATATCGAATATCTCAAAGGAGGGAACAAAATTGTAATTGAATGACAGATTTTATTTCTTTAATATAAACATATCTGTATACAGAAATGTGTAATATAATATATTAAATGTATTTCGTTAGCTAACGGTGTTAACTTAAATTGAAAATATCACCGTATTATGACAGTAATTGATAAAAAGGATTGACTCGGAGCAAATTTACATTTATTTCTTTTCTATGGATAATAACGATTTTAATTATTATTAACGAAAGAAGCAATTAAATTGTGGAAAGAATAAACGTTGATATAAATTTGAATGGTTTGATTTTTATCTATTATTTATACTTTGTACAAAAAGAAATTACCGTATAGAAAAATATTAATAATTTTATATTTCGTTTAATTTCGTATTTTTTCTTTTATCTACGCAGATAGTAACAGCATTAATTGAAACATTTGATATAACGGTAAACGGGTTAATATTTATTCGACCAGATTCGAGATAACGTGAGAATGCGCCTTAAAGCTTTGCGCGCAATTGGACGTTGTCATCGATAGAGTGCGCAACAATGTAACGGTTTCTGATCTGAGTGTTTTTACTCCTTCATGACGCATGTCGTGTACGTTCAACGAGGAATAATTATCGCTCGCATTTGACGCAGTGCGTTAGTCTCATATTACAAACGGAAAAGAACGTAATATAGTGCCGCGTATTACGCGATACGCTTTCCGAGCAAGTAATCCGTGTTAGTGCTCCGTAAGAAAGAACGTGGCGGTTAAGCACTGCAAAGAAAACTTGACATTGGAACGGCCATTTTGGCGTGTTGTTTCCTAATCGAGTGCTCAGCTCAGCATCGATATCCATCCATTTCAAGGTAAGTAGCTTTGTAGTTATAGACATTTTGTTAAACGAATGATCTTATGTTTGAGAAAATTTCATTTTCCGTTCATTTACGTAAATTTATCCAAAAAGATTTTTGACCAATTCTATAGAAAGAAAAATCGACTTTGTACAGATGGTTTTACTCTATACTCTGTTTCTCATCCTGTTCACAAGTATGTCTGACGACAGTACCGCGATGGCTTAAAATCGACTAGTAAACCAACTTTAGTAGTATATTGAAAATATGCCGTATAAATAATATCTGATTAATATTAATTAGAAAACTTTCCTCTTAGCTATATGTATATCTAATATCCGAAAATATTGCCAATATCTTAAGCAAACTTTCCATATAAGTAAGTTACTTTCATTTTTGCTCCGATATTTAACAAACTTTGTTTTATTTATTTCGTAAACAATATTTTATGTTGTAATTACTGCTTCTGTTAAAAGTTATATAAAGATTATGAAATACGAGATTATTGCAATTACTGCAGTAAATACTAATCACTTTATTAATTTAGGCATTACATTATAATTTTTTTTAATTTGATTTAAAACATTAAATTTTCATTTGCAAATTTCTTATTATCTTAATTCGTAATAAATTTATAATCTGTTGTATTTTCATATATACATATATATATATATACACACACACACACACACGTACGCACGCACGCACACAAACACACACACACACACACACACACACACACACATGTTGTGAGATCAATATATCTAAATGTATTGTAATATATTCTTCAAATTTCAAAGTTTTTGTGAAGAATATCAGTAACCAACATCGAACTGCTAAACTTCCTTATAAGGTTGAAGTACATAAAAACTAGAGTTCTTCCAATGAGTATACCTACGATGTTTACATCCTAGTGTGATCTTTTCAACAGGTCACTTATAATGATGTGGCCTTTTGTCTTACAGGCATATAACTGTTCTACTTACATTTTATACTTATTAATTTAGTTAATTTCTTTCCATTTTTCATTTTTTATTCTGTTTAAATACTTAATTTACTCCAATTGCATCAGAATAAGAGTATTTCTCTTTCTATTTAAAAAAAGACTTTTAAGATTCTAAAATATATTAATTTAATTGATTTGATTAAATTTTCTGTTTGACTCACAAAGAAATATTTATTTTCAGGAAATAGATAATATTTCATCATTTTCAAAATGATGACAGAAACACATATAAATTCCAATCATGTCCTAAATTCTGGTTTGAATACCAAATCAGACATAGAGAAAATGGACGATGTGGGTTGGAAAGCCAAATTAAAAATTCCACCAAAGGACAAACGAATAAAAACTAGTGTAAGTTATTTTATAAACATTTTTGTTTTATTCCATAAAAATATTTTTTTGCTTAGATATTGAAACTTATTATAGAAAATAATAAAATTTACGTATTTAATATACCCTTACCTGTTCTGAATGATTAATAAAGACCCTAATTTGTGTTTAGGATGTTACTGATACTCGTGGCAATGAATTTGAGGAGTTTTGCTTAAAACGAGAATTATTAATGGGCATCTTTGAAAAAGGCTGGGAGAAGCCTTCTCCAATTCAAGAAGCCAGTATTCCCATTGCATTATCTGGTAAAGATATCTTGGCCCGTGCAAAGAATGGGACTGGTAAAACTGGGGCCTATTCTATTCCAGTGCTAGAACAGGTTTGTATATCACTGATTCTTTTATTAAGAGTGAATGTATATTTCTAAATACTACTTATTGTAATGATATTAATATTGACCCTAATTTATATTATTTTAGGTGGATCCACAGAAAGATGTGATTCAGGCACTAGTACTTGTACCCACTAGAGAGTTAGCTCTTCAAACATCACAAATTTGCATTGAGCTAGCAAAACACATGGACGTAAAGGTAATGGTAACTACTGGAGGAACAGATTTACGTGATGACATTATGAGGATTTACCAGACAGGTTTGTATTGAATGTATCTTTATATAAGAACTAATTATAACAATCAAGTTTTAAAAATAGTTTACTTATGACGTAATTCGTTTCTAGTGCAAGTAATAATAGCAACACCAGGAAGAATTCTTGACCTTATAGACAAGAATGTTGCAAACATGGAACATTGTAAAACTTTAGTGTTGGATGAAGCTGATAAGCTTCTGTCACAAGATTTTAAAGGAATGTTGGATCATGTCATTTCGAGGTATACCACCTGATAGATAATCAGAAATATTGATGATGTTTTTTTAGCCGGATTTTATATTATAGTATAGTAATTTTTTAATATCGTGTATAAATTTAGATTACCACGTGAACGTCAGATACTGCTGTATTCAGCCACATTTCCTCTGACGGTAAAGCAATTCATGGAAAAACACTTAAGAGATCCATATGAGATTAATTTAATGGAGGAACTCACATTGAAAGGTGTAACACAATATTATGCTTTTGTACAGGAAAGACAAAAAGTTCATTGTCTTAATACATTGTTCTCCAAGGTGAGATTGTTTGTTTTTCAAAATTGCATATATACTTACACTTTACTCCAATAAACCCTATACTTTTTTTTTATTGAATATATTTATCTAATTTATTTTTGTTCTTTAAGTTGCAAATAACGCAAAGTATAATATTCTGTAATTCAACACAACGTGTTGAATTACTTGCGAAAAAAATAACAGATCTTGGGTATTGCTGTTATTACATACACGCGAAAATGGCGCAGGCACACCGAAATCGCGTGTTTCACGATTTTCGAGCAGGGCTATGCAGAAACTTGGTAAATATGTGAATAATTTTTCTTCTCCTTTTCTTTTTTTTTTTTTTTCTATGAATGAAGAAATTATGAAAATCTAATTAAGACTTTATATTACATAGGAAAAATCGAAAGTATATATTAAATATATGTTGTATATTCTCTATAGGTCAGCAGTGATCTGTTTACTCGTGGTATTGATGTTCAAGCTGTGAACGTCGTAATCAATTTTGACTTTCCAAAAATGGCAGAGACATACCTTCACCGTATTGGCCGATCAGGACGATTCGGTCATTTGGGTATAGCAATTAATCTAATCACATACGAAGATCGTTTTAACTTGCATCGTATCGAACAAGAGCTTGGAACAGAAATTAAACCTATTCCAAAAGTAATAGACCCAAGTTTGTATGTAGCAAGATCAGAAGACAATAATAGCATGGAAGAGGGTAATGTGTCTAAGTAGTTTCGATACATTGTCACGATGTTTTACATGCGCTCGAAGAGTTTAAAGTGTTAAATGGTGATTGTGTGACTCGTACATGTAAGGCATACATTGCTATGCTTTGAACTCACAGAGTGAAACGTTATTTCAGTCTGAAAAGTATTGTCTGGGGTGTTTAACAGTGTATAAAGACAAAACAGTGCTATGAACATTTTGATAAAAAAAAAAAGTGGTCTATATAGAAAAAAAAATTGAAAATTTCAATTAACATCACAGTAAAACAGCGAAAACATGAATTACTTGTAAATAAGGCATACTGAGTATGAAACAGTGAACTCAGTGAATGAAGTGATGCGAATGCCGGTGCGAGTCATTCTTTGTACATAAATACATATAAATGTACATAATCTAAAGTGCGCGCCAGAGTCAAGCCATTATCAAGAGCACAACATGTAAACAAATAATATGAGTAACATAATAATCATTACATTTTACCACAAACTGTAAATATTACATGTGAGTATCCGTCATTTTAATAGTAAATGTTTATACAATGGCTTCATACTTCCAAGATGTTCTTGTTCTTTAAGAAAGAAACGTGATGGGATGTGTGATTTGAAGAGAAAAACAGCATAATAAGAGTAAACTTGTAGCTGAATGCTGATTGTAAGTATCAGAATATCGCAAATTAATCCATATGCCCATTACTTTTGCATCACCATAGTTTACATATAAATTTTCCTTAAATATACAATCATAAATTCTAAATATTATATCGATCTTAATGTTTGATCATGGCTTGATTTTGCTACCTGTCAATGCTGTCATACAACTCTGAAATTCAAATCACTTTTCAAAAAATGCAAGCTTATCTTTTTTTTCTGTAAAGTGGTAATAGAGAGTTTTTATAACTTAATCTGATTTTTTTTTTTTACGAAATTGTGATTGAGCGTCAGAGGTTGTAAAATTGACTAGTTTTATATAATTATTTTTTATAAATAACTGGCTGGTGGCATTTGTCGAAATTAGGGATTCAATGCATGATGTCTATTGAATATTTATGTGTCTACTGTAATTCAAAATCGTTCCACCAATTAATGTATAATTAATGAAAAACTATATAGCAAAGATTCTTTGTTACATTTAAGACACATCTTAGGTAAAATCTACGAATGTAAGCAAAAATGTACATAATATAGCATAACAATAATATATCATTTTCTGCAACAGATGAAGGTAATTATCAAAATGTAATAGATCATCATCATGGAATCCCTTTTTATTCTTGGTCTTTTTCTTTGATATCTATGTACATGTTAACCATATAAAGAGCAAAAAAGATATAGGATTGCGTAAGAAATAATTTTCCATAAAGTAAATTTTTATTGTTAATATTCCCCCTTGAACAAAAAAAAAAAAAGTGTACCACCAGCCAAGACGACCTAGGTTTATGGAACGAAATGTGTATACATTAATAGGCAATAGTAGAATATTTCATATTTGAAGCAAAAATTTCAATGAGAGATATTAATGAAAAAAAAAAAAAAAAAAGTAACGGAAAACGATTTCGAATGCATTTAGACTTATAATATCAGTTTTGACGGATATTTGCTTCAGCGATAGAGGAAACAAGAGGGATATGTTATGACGATTAAGAACTTGACTATTGGAATGAGAAGTGTAAGTTTGGAGTACTTGAAATTTTGCTTTAATACTTATGTGGAACTAAACGCAATTTTGAATATCCATCCAATAAGATGATGGATGTTTTTATACGCATAAAAATGCAAGACACAAAATGTTAAGCTTTCAAATGAGTATAGTTCCACGTAATGTCACATATAAAATTCAATTGTTATACATCTATGCTAATTACTTAAAAACTTCGACTTTTAGTTTAGTATTTCGTATAGATGACACATTTAAAATACATTCATAAGAAGTACGAATATTTGATACGAAGATTCTATGTACTGACTTGTACGCATATCAAGGATAAAACGAGAAATTCTTACCATTCTTCATTTTTAATACCCGCACGTGAAACATGGACATGTTTGTAGTACATGGGGTAATGCGATTTTTGCACAAAACATTTTATATAATTCTATTCTACTTAAAAAGAACTATGATATGCTGTCAAATTATTAATTATCTGACGTACTGTAAATCCTCTCTTGTATCCGCTATCTGAGCACTAACGCTGCGATTTAATATTATGGTGCTAAACGTATTGAAAATCGTTTTTCTGTGCTGACACAAATTATAATTTGATACGTTTCAATATTGAAAACATGTCTGTAAATGCACGCACCAGTGTGCAACGGCATTATCAATCGATTTATACTTTTCTGCCAGTTTGAGAACGAATGTGATTTGAGAGACTCGTTGATTGTAGGAAATCTCGAAATAATTGATTATAAGCGCGCATCATATTGTTGCAAGAATCAAGGCATTATGATGCTTGGAACGATAGAGAGAAAAAAACCAGTTAATGGTGGAGAATCAATGTGGATACCACCATATTGGGATAGAGATTCCAAAGTGGAAACAAAAAAAAAGTAATTACAAAAATTGGCGGTGATTTATCGAAATAATTACGTAAGCGTTGTATTTATAACAGTTTAGGGAGAAACACTTACATAGTGTTTTTTCATTGTGGCTCTATCTTTTTACCGATTATTACTCTTTTTTTTTTTTCTTCTTTTTTTTTCATGTGCGATGTTACCCAGACTGCGAAAGAAAGAAAAAAAGAACATTTTCATCGATTGGATATATTTCATATGGTAAAATCGCATATGAATCCCGTTCTAATATAATATTATAATCTTCTCTCTCGCTCTCTCTTTCTCTATTTTTCTCTATCTATCTATCTTTCTCACTCTCGCTCTCACTCTCTCTTTCACTCGCCCCTTCTCTCTTTTATATTTTATTATTCATTTCTTCGTATGAGAACATGCAATTCAAATAAGTCGAACAGTATTTCGGACATGTCAGTTCTAAAACAAGAAGGAATATTCTCCTACATATTCACCACAAAATTGAATTTTTGTGTTATATATGTTTGTGAAAGTTCTATTCACGGTTCTTTTCGCGAAGTTCTACAGACTAGGAAGACTTTCATGTTCTTGGTCTTACTGAATTATAATTTAAAGCACCATTAGGTCCGATATGGAATCTATTTTGTGAGGTATATTTTAAAAATCAATCTTTAAAAGAGTCAAGAATGTGCCAATGTGGAGGGAGGACAAAAATATTCTTGAACACGCTGCATGGAATTGTGCCTAATAATTTTACGTGCATCTTGAATTACTTCGTAAAAAACATTATACACGCGCGTACTTGTTCATTTGAAAATTTTGCAACGATATTGAACATTAACGAAAGCGAGCTGTTGCAAAGCGATGAGTGGATGGTGAAACATATGGGTAATCGGAGGCGGTCATTATAATGTTTATCTTGACTCTTTTGAAAGACTGATATTCGTGTGAAATAAAAGTATAAATCTCTAGTAGAAGCTGGGTGATAAAAGAAATTGCTAAATGCAATGCTATGCGTATAGACTGAAGGAATAAATATATTTGTTTTGTTCTATGGTTGAAACTGCGATAAGTAATTTTAACTTTAAAGTTACTTCACTCTCCATGTTGTACATGGAATACGAATCTGTGAAACCGTAGGATACATGTATACATATATACGTACATGTATTTTTCTTTTATACGTTTAAGGATTGCTTGTACAAAACGGTCATAGTAATTTTGTTCATTGCCATCTTGCGAGTGTTCCCTCATGTCTGTCGCATAGATGTATTTCCAAGTGATGTTCCTATACCTCATCTTGGAGAAGGAAATACCCTCGATGCGAAAACAATTTTTGAGGGCACCTTTGTAATATGAAACTGTTACGTCGAAAGTGGTATGTTAACATCTGGATTTGGGATACGTGAAGGAACCCTTGTGACCATCGTAAAGGGTTCGGTAATCTTTAAATATATATATATATAAATATATATATATGTATGTATGTACGATTCATCTCGTATGTAACGAAGGAAATAACATCTTTACGAGACTGTGGAGTGTGTTATATTCGTAGGCAGTCTCGTACCTTCGTTGTAATGTGCATTGGTTTTAACCCAATGACAACGAGCTGCACTCTATAAAATGCCACATTTTCGCAATAGACGAACAACATATTTGGTCTCATATAAACGTCAAAAATGAATATTTTGTGGTCCACGCAGCTCGTTTGTAATGTTGGAACAACATCTCCGATAATCCGTGCAGAAACTATTAAAAAGTTGAAAAAGATAAAAAAAAAAAAAAAAAAAGAGGTACCGTCAATACTCTATATGTGACAATTACAATAATTTGTTTTCCCAAAAATCTCATTTCACTCATACGTAATAATAATTGGCTGTCCATCGATGACGGTACGCGAACGAAAAATATGTTTTGCAAATTATACACCTTTTTGTATCTGGAACGATGTAAGAAATTCTGTGTAACACGTTCAAACGAAATTGGTTTATTCTTTTGACAAGAAGAAAAAAAAAAAAATTGAAAATATGAATCCTCTTGTAAATGCAAATCGCACAATACCGTATATTTGTTTCCAGTGTTATATGTAACGAATACGTACACTCCAAGACCTTGTGTTTCAGAAAGCGACAAATACATTACGAAATACTTAAACGGTATTGCTCGAGTTGCATGAAATTAAAAGACAAAGAAGAAAACTCAAAAAAAAAAAAAAAAAAAAAAAAAAAAAAAAAAAAAAAAAAAAAAAAAAAAGAAAAAAAAAAAAGAAAGAAGTGATAGAAAATCGTATGATCTCTACATGATCGTATGTGTTGCTCGAATGTTTTTTGTATCTGAAATTTTTAAGCATTTCTGTAACATGAAACCCCCTTCTCTGTGTTGTTATGTACGTTCGATAACGTGAAATTGATCGCGTGCGAAAGCAAAATCGACGAAGAAACAAAAAGAAAAATTCTCTGTTATTCCAGGAACTTAAAATGTTTATTTCTCAATTGTAAAGGCAGATTTGTGCCTGAATTACGAAAGAAACCTTTTTTATTTGTTTTTCATTTCTCCAAAAGCACAGACCCGATCTGGTGAAAAAAGGAAAAAAAAAGAAAGAAAGAAAGAAGAAGGAAACAATAAAAGTAAAACGCATGTCAATGAATTTGTTTTTCAAAGGAACAAAATAGCAAAGCAAATTTGGTCCTTAATAAAATTTCCGGTTCAGTATATCACGTATATTTTCTTTTCAGTGTATCCTAATTTCTTTCGATCCGCTTTAGATTACATCCGTGAATTCGAAAGAATAAAAGGTAAATAAATTGTTGATATTCGTACATCGATTAAACGTGCATAGAGCATTATCACGTGTTCCATGGGAACACGAAGCGTGCAATTAGAAGATGATCTTCGCGTGTAATTGCGTATAGCTCAAGTGGATAATTTGTTCGACGAATTCGAAAATATCGTGGCTTAAGCGGATTACGAAAAGCCCGGTGTTGAATCTGAAAACTAATCGTACGAGCATTACATTTATCGCCGAAATTCATTTTATCTACTACGTTCCATTTTATTTACAACGAACACGGAAAATCAACTTCTTGGAGGATTTAGATTTACGATACTTGTGAGTAATCATCGACAAATTGATAATAACTAAATTTATTATTCATTTTGTGTTACATAATATACAAATATTATAGTTTATAAAGATAGTTTATTCGTTTCTTTAATACGCTTGATTTTAGGATTTTCTAGCCAAATTTTTATAGTACATTCTATGAATAGAAATAAGAACGAGCCATCACGTGACATCATAAAGTTCGATCGCTCGAAAATCGATGAAATTATTTTTCGATTTTATCATTATATAAACCTTTGTACTTGACATGGCAATAAATTCATTGTCGCCGACGTATTTCGTTGCTACATTTTCACAGTATCTTTCTTATCTCTATTCATAGAACAAACTGACGAATTTTAGCTAAAAAGTCCCTAATATAGCAAGTACGAAAACCATCGAATAGCTCAAGATAAAAATTGTACAATTCAACTTAATTTTATAATTACTTAAAGATATCTGACTCTGTACCCGTCTGAGATTTTTTTACTGGTCGAAATAAAATCGGAACTCTGGTGTTCATAAATGACAAATCCTCCGGTGTTTCGCACGATTAACGGGAAAAACATTTAATCACGCTTCACGCATAGTCCTCCATCGGTCATGGTCGAGCGGAAATAGGCGCGGGAAATATAATTCCTGGTCAGAAACGACAAATATTGATACGATCGTGCAAATACAATCCCAGCCTTGTAATTACATTCATCTATCCGTATAGTATAATATCGAATCTCAGTTACGAGGATGATCGACGCGGCGACAACAGTTAGAGTGTGCACAAACGTGTGATCTATGGATTGCCCTGGAAAATATAAATCAATTACATCACTGCTAACGGAAAGGTATTTTTCATAGATAAAAGACGACAGCTATTATTACCAAGGTGATAATGCGACGATTTGCGCCGTAGTAATGCAATTAATCACCATCCGCGATAAGTTTTCACTCCTCGATCGTACTTATCAGGTGATCCAGCCGTAAATCCACGAAACAATCGCGTTCGCGCTCGTAGTACACGCGTGTCGAGCAGTCGTGGCCAGGTGTTGGAGGTAGGATAAATGCTGGAAAAATGCGGAGAGCCAGCCAAATCCAGATAGAGCCCGCAGCGATTCGACCAACTCCCTCGGCAGAGATCCAACCGCTCTGCATCCTTCGCTTCCCTGGTTCTTTCTTCCGTTCTCGGGGCTTCCTCCGGCTTCGATCCGGGTCCCTGTGGGGAATCGACGAAGGATGAGACTGAAGCACATAGTTGGGGATAAGAATTATACCATCGGCCCGTTGTCGCGCACCGAACGAGCGCTATTGATTTTAAGTAATCGCTTAAATAGCGTCAGTGGCCTGTGCAACGTGCTGCCATCGAGTGCACGAGACAGAGACGAGCGGCGATTCACGCCGGAACTTGGGAGCAACGCGTTCTCCTTGTCTCCTAGATCTCCGTTTTCCCGTTAATTTACCGCCTTCAATTTTCCTCGCATCAAGCTCGACCAAATCGTATCCGCTCGCGATCCATCGAGATTCGCGGTACATCTAGCCCCTCGTGGGAGAACAGGAAACGACGGGGTGCAAATGGACTCTAGACGTGCATAAGCGAGCGAAGGGTGCACGGTTGAATTGCGGGGACATATTGGACAGGCATCGAACGTCTTTATCCGGAGGGTTCTTTGAAGCTTCGCGTCCATTAAGGGTGCATTACGCGCGGGCGTACGAGCGAGAAGGCACGTGCACTTGTCGCTTCAGACGATCAATTAACCCTAAAAGGTCCTTTAGGGAAAATTCGCCGGCTATGTGGCGTACGTATGTACGGTACATAGCGGCTGGCGCGTCCTTCGTCATCCTGCATAGCAATGTCACCTTTACTCTCGTTGTAGGCAGATTTACCATCCACCCTCTGTCCCCTACCCCCGACTTCTTGCAGCGAACCTAACTTTCCTCCGCGGAAGGAATACCTCCATTTTCCGTATAATTTCCACGAGAGATGACAGAAAGGGAAGGAGATCCGGCGACCGGTGGTGGGACCGGTGGTGGGACCGGGGCAGGCGGGCCGATGGGGAAAGCACGCGCAAACTTCTCGAGAATGTAAACGCGAGGAGCGAAGAATCGCGTGGTAGAAGAAAAAGGAGGACTCCGGGAAAAGAATGAAAGGACGGATGGAGGAGGAAAGGTGGGGAAAAAATGGTAGGAAGAATGACTTTTCCAGGGCTCTCTGTGATCGTAGCCGGAAAACGACGCGGAGAAAGATAGAGAGAGAGAGGGAGAGACCGTCTGTGATGGTTGACAGTGGCCGATAGACGATATCGTAACCACCACCGCCGTTACCGACCTTTTCTCTTTCTCTTTCCTTGCCGCTCCCTCTGCACCCACCCCTCCAGCAGCCGTAATCTGGCAGTGCATTTAACCACTTTGTGAAATAGCCGTATATCTCGCCACTGTGACGTAGCATTCGATACGTCGAAAAGGGTGGTTGGAGGGTCGAAGGTGGCACGGAGAGACGGAGAGAGATAGCCTGAGAGAGCGAGTTAGTTGGAGACAGAGAGAAGAAGTATAGGGATGAGACGGGGGGTGGAGTGAGGTCAGAAGACTCGGTAGGAAAACGTGGAATAGGTTAGAGAGAAAGAGGAGCCACGGCGCGGCGGCTGAGAGTACCTAGTGGCTAGTAGGTTGTGCGCGCACCCGCACACCCGTGTACCCATTTGGAGGGGTGGAAAGCGCCGGTAGAAAGGTAGGGTTGCTCGTGTACGATGGTGGGGTGTGGGAACGATCCCTACTACGTCGTTCTAGCCGGTTGGGAAAGCGCACGAGCTGTCTGGTTATGGGAATGGCGGGGGTTCGCGGGGTCTTCCGTAGGGTGGAGGGTGGAGGGTGGACGGTGGGGTAGGGGTGGTCGAACAGAGCAGGCTCGGGCGAGGGGGTGAAGGATGCTGGTGGATGAGACTGGAGGAGAGGAAAGGCGCCGTAAGGGGTGCTCGGAATCACGGTGGTGGTGTGTACACCCTGTGTATATAGTCTGGCCAGAGTGGAAGAAGGGTGCGCCCTACTTCGCGTCGGCGTTTTCCCTCCTGGCAGTGTGCAACGACGTACCGAAAGAAAGACAGAGAAAGCGAGCAGAGGCTGTCTCTCCGGTTCGGTGCCGGGCTTTTCATAGTCTCTCATTTCACGACGAGCGTCCGTGCCATCGGTTCGAGTGTTTTGTGCGTTCGACGAACATCGGGGGTGGAAAAAGCGAGAAAAAAGGGGGATAAAGAGAAAGGGAGGAAGGAAAAAAGAAAGGGCGAACCGGCTGGGAAAACAGAGCGGGGAACGAGCCAACGAAGATCGTCTGGCACGGACAACGCCTCGGACAACAGAGCAGTGCGAGAACGAGAGAGAGCTGTTCCCGGTCTGTTTCGCGAGCATATTCGGTGGTTCGCGTGCTACGCGTCGTCCAAGGTGGTGGTGCAAAGTACCGTCTCGTCGGGGGTGCGATTATTATTATTTTTGGTTCTCGTGGATGGTGATCGTGAAGATAGTTTTCGTCAGGCTGACGGGAAGTGCACGTTGATCGACGCGTTTACGTAAGAACGACGGACGCTCGTGGTGTATGCTTACTCGTACGTGCTCGTATGTATCTCAATGTGCGCGCGCGCGTGTGACAAGTACCGACAAATACGAGAAGACCAGCCAGGAAAGGAGACGGTGGAGGTTTTCGTCGATTCGTGAGTTCGCCGAAAATATCGAGGCGGCCAGGTTCGACAATCGAGAACCTTGCGGGGATCGAAGGAAAAGAATTCGTCGTCGTCGTTCAACGGTCGTCGGAGTCGACGAATCAGGAGGATTCACGAATGGACGAGCCGAGATCGTTTAATCCCGACCCTCTCGTTCGCATAATTAGCCGTACCGTACTGCAACAGCCACACGGAGAGAAGGGTTCGCGTAAACTTTGCTACAAATGCTGAGGTGACGACCGTGTTATTTGACGATACGACAAAGGGCATCGAACGTGTGTCGCTAAGAGGAAACTCGGAAAGGAGAACGGAAGTGAACGTCGTCGTGTCACGTCACCGGAGCACGGTCGAAAAGGCAAACGGAAAAAATGGGCGTACGCTCGTACGCGGAGAATTTTCTCGGGAGAGCGAAAACATTTCCCGTTTATTGATGCGTCTGGTGAAGCTAGCGTCCTCGAGCAAGATAGTCGGGGAGGATAGCATTTATCGTAACCAGGACCAGCGTTCCACGATAATAAACGCGTTCGTCATGGAAATCTCGGTATACTTGCTTTACGTGACGACGTTGCTGGGCATTGTGACCAGCGACAAGTGCGCCGTCGAGTGTTCTTGCAAGTGGAAGAGCACGGTTGAGTGTATAAATCGTGCCCTGACTAGCATACCGGAGTGGGTCGATCCGGAGACGCAAGTGTTGGACACCAGTGGCAACGACATTCGGACCCTGCCGAGCAACATCTTCGTACGTGTACGCTTGACGAATCTACAGCGTCTCTACCTACGCGAGTGCCATATCGACCGAATCGATAGCGAAGCACTGGCGGGCCTTACGAATCTGGTAGAGCTCGATCTAAGCCATAACCTCTTAACCGTAGTCCCTACTGCCAGTTTCTTGGATACGCCGTTCCTCAGGGACCTCGTACTCTCTAACAATCCTCTCAAGAAGGTTCACTCGCACGCGTTCAAGAGTACACCGAATCTTGTCAAGTTGGACCTGTCTCACACGCAACTGTCTGAGATCGAGGCGAAAGGATTCCGGGGTCTCGAGCTGTTGGAAAGTCTAAAATTAAACAACAATCAGTTATCGACCCTGCATCCGGGGACATTCGAACCGTTGAACAAACTCACCAACATAGAACTGCACGACAACCCCTGGACCTGTGATTGCCATTTACGCGAGATGAAAATGTGGTTGGTGAAGCACAATCTACCGACCCTTCAAGCACCCCTTTGCCATGCCCCGAAACAGTTATTGAATCGAACTTTTACCGACTTGGGTATCGACGATTTCGCCTGTCGACCGATCCTTTTGATAGCCAGTCGCTACGCAGAGGCAACCATAGGAGAGAATGCCAGTATCGTGTGCCGGGTTAGCGCGATACCACCGGCCAAAGTGAAGTGGTACTGGAATGGACGTCTATTGACTAATCATTCAGCGTTCAGTAGTTATCAGAAGATCTTGATCTTCGAGGAGGGTCAGTTTAGAAAAAGGAGCACGCTGGTACTTACAAACGCTCAGGAAGCGGACTCCAGCGAGTTTTATTGCGTCGCAGAGAATCGTGCCGGCAGTGTTGAGGCGAATTTCACGCTTCACGTGTCCTTGAGGACCGCTGGCATGTCGACCCTCGGTTCCGGTCAAATCGCCGGCATATCCGCCGCCCTGGTCGTGCTGATTCTCTTCATACTTCTCATCATTCTCGTGTTGTTCATTCGCCTACGAAGAATGCCACTGAAAGACGTCAAGTCGGCTGTTCCCGCGGAAGGAGTGTCGGCCGATAGTACAGCTGGAAATAACGAAAATCCTTCGTCAGCGACGTCTACTACTCGCAGAAAACACGAAGAGATAGAAACCACGTCGTTCGGGGTGGAATCGAAACCACCGGTATCGTTAAACCTGAGCTACGTTCAGAGACCTCAAGCAGCGATGTTGCAGACGGAGAACGAGTATGGCTCGATCGGACGTTTCGATGATCAAAGCCAACAGCCTTCGGTAATGGTCGCACCAGGTGCCTGTTTCTCCTCTACCACGTCCCTGATGCCGATCGACAATCCTGATCTTATCAGGGACACGCGACGTGGTTCGGCGGAAGACATCACTCCGTACGGCGGAGCGGACTACAGTCGCATGGAAGTAGTGGACGACGCCAAGATCCTTTACTCGAGTTGTATGTGGGAGGCGAGGGATACGTGTAGAACAACAGTTCCGGTGAGCACGTACCCTTCGAAGGAAGCCTTGGCTGTAGTGGCGCCTATGGTCGAACAATTTCCGCCGGGTGCAAAGCAAATAAGAGTCTGGCAGAAAGGAGTTCCGGTCTTGCCACCGGTCTCGGCGTTGAAACGCGTCCTTGGCTCGACGCGTAGCTCCCCCGACGAGGGCTATCAAGAAGGAACCGGGACAGATGTCTAGGTACCGCTGCTTCATTACTGTGACGCCCGGCACCGTTACCTGGAGCTTCGTAGACGCCACCAGGACGACACCGACTGCTGAGAGACGTCCTGTCCAGTGCCGGACGAGCGGTAGTGAAACGAAAATTCTTGATTTATTAAATATCGAACTCCGTCGCGATATTACCGATGGACACGGACGTCGACCTGTCACGTGGACTGCGTATACATATAATATATATACATACCACACGTTACACACTCGTACATACGTATATAGAACGAGAGAGTGATCGATGAAACGGTTCGAGATGTATTCCGTATGTGGGTATACATACGTATAGAGAGGAGGGAGGCACGAGAATGGGAAGTCGTTTGGCCGATCCGGTGGAAACGAACGTCCACTTGTCGCGAGATTTACGTACAGTGGCCGATGAAATAGTTGAAGGTGTCGTCGTGACTAATGCACGGAACACATAAAACGAAGAATCTGTCGAGGACTCGATCGATGAAATCGCCATCTGCCAGAAGCTCTCGAGAATAACACCGCGCTCGACCGCGCTCCGAGACTTTCCCTTCCGAACGTTTCGCGTTTTGTGTGTCCGGCGTGTAGCAATGGTGGAAAATATGACGATCTGACGAGGGGAACGATCGAAAAATGCGATCCGACAAGAGACGTCGTTTCGGTGGTCTTGCAGCACAATGTTGACGGGTAATACTTTCTATAAGAACGGTTAAGGTACGCGAAAGAAGAACAAACAAATAAAAGATCACGAAAAATGGAATACAGGAGAATAACGTTTAAAGATACGGTTTAAGTATACCGTTTCTTAATATTAATGAACACGAGAAGACTGCAGTGCATGTTCCGAAGGATGTGTAGATAGAGACTGATACGCGAGAGAATAATTTCTATTGCCGTGTGTGTTTGGCTACCGTGTATACTACACACGTGGATTTTCTAGTCAATTTCAAGGATGTAATTAAACGAGGTTAGATGATTCGGATATGGTGCGAGCATGACGACAATACGAGATCGAGAATACGGCCGACGTGCGATTACACCTCGACGTGCATCACGGTAACGATGCCCGGAAAATTAATTCCAATTTTCGTCGCGCGCCTAACGATTCGTCTACGAGGTCGTTTTTAACCTAATATCAACGGTACGTACGAATTACGAAAAGGTTATGTTTCGACATTCGAGGTAAGATCGAGTATCGAATCGATCGATTAGATTCGAGGTAACGAACGAATGCGCGACATACCAGAGAATCGATATTGTCACATCGGATAGTTATTGACGTTCGTGTTCGAGGACGAAAATTCACGGAAACGATAGAGCGTGAAATATGACGTCGGGTACACCTCTGGATTCGCCGTTGCAATTCTCTTGACGATAAATTGATTTACTTTACCGCGCGTTAGAAACCGTTCAAAATATATTCGTGTAACGAGGCACTGTCTCTTTCGATATCGATTCATCGAGAAATTTCGAGCCCTTAAAAGCATTAGTATATCGATGGTAATATAACGCGCGTGTGTGTATTCGTATCGATACGTCGGTATAATAATTGTTGACGTTTCAACGTCGCTGTGCATAACCTCTATCGAACGATATCTAATCAACGATCCAACTCAATGAACAAGAAAGAAAAGTGAGAAAATAGTTTCAATCGCCAGAATGTATCCGTCGTCGTTCGATCTCTGTCTGTTTTTGTATTACCCGGAGCCAATAGAATCAATTACATAAGACTGTATAGTAAGCACAGGAAGCCCGTAAGCCAATTGCAAGCGAATATAAACTATTGCTCAAACACTGAAACGAGGGGCTTGCGATTGGTTGACCGGCTCATGCCTCGCGTTAGTGTCTTACGTAAGTGAGTCTGTGTGTGTTGATCTAGACACTTTGGCGGTAAGCGGTAAGCCAAAACGCCAATTGCGAATATCGGTCAGTTATCAACTTGTGTCTGTGTTGTGTCCTGTGTGTCCCGTGTGTCCCGTGTGTCCCGTGTGTGTGCGTATTTGTCCAAGCGGTTCGTACGTGTCTTGAGAGCCCTGTGCCTGAATATACGTATGAACGTATGTGATAATATGATCCAGACAATGTGGATACGTGGGGATATGTGAGTCTATGAGTGTATCAGTGTATACGTGTGATCGCGCGCGACGGAGAGATCGAGGGTGAGATAGTGCATGCGGTGCAGTGCTTGCAATTTGCTACCGATTGGTTTATCGCCTATCGTTCAGGCCGGCTGCTTTTCTCTGCTCAATGATCCTGCAACCGCTCGACGTGTCCGTGATGAGGTAAAGAAAGAAAAAAGTTCAAGGAAAGAATGAAAATAACGATGCTATGTCAAATATATCAATCGGTTCTATCGAATCATATATTTTACGTGGATCGATAATACGTGGTACAGGCTGGAGAACACGACAGGACGACACGTTCTAGTGACCATTTTATTCGTCGGTGAACGAGCCTACGGGTTTATTGGTTGTTTCCCGACCGGTATCTCTGCCGAATCACGGTAATTGCGGTGAAAACATGTGACAAGCCGGGCACGAAAACGCATAAACTGAAATTCATTAGAACCATTTTTTCCCTCTGATCGAATTTAACTTTATTCGTAACAATGTGTAACGAACGTTTTCGCGTAACGCGCGTAGACCATGTTCGAACGGAATTTTAAATTAGGGAGGTTAGGAAATTTATTTCGCGCTCTTTTCCATAACGCGGGAATTACTGTAATGAGAAGCAGATTCAAAATGGCCGATTTGCCGCCTTTTTCCTCTCAAAATGCATAGTTAATGTCGCGTTCAGAATAATTTATGCATATTATCGTTTAAAGTGAACCAGGAATGATGTGCGCATGTTTAACGTTGAAATTTTGTATTCGTTCTTTCTGGAATATTCACGTCGTTGCGACAGCATTGTCTCATAACGAACATTTTATTCCTGTTAGTGTATTACGATATCGTTCGGGTTGTTAAACCTTCATTTTCTATTTTTGTTTAATTTGATATTAATAAGGGGTTTAGTCGCAACGTTTTATAATGCCATCCAACAGTGACATATGAAAATGTTAATTATTTTACCGTTCAGTGGTTCTTGCGACCAAGTCACGCCACTGCGACATTTGAAGACTGCTCGTCCATGCATCGAAAGTAACGATATTTACCGCAGATTGTTTTCGTTTACTCGTTCTTTTTATGCGCCATTGACACGAAACGCCATTTTTCTTCGCGTTTCTGGGATACAAATCGATCAAAGTCATAAAAATTCTTCTCCTGTTATATTTTAATAAAATGAATAAATATCGGACAACAAAATTTAAATAATTAAATATAAAATTAAATATTAAAATTGTAAATATACAAAATTCGGTATTGAGTTCACAAAACGACGAATTTCGTCGAAAATTCGTTAATTCTATCATATGAATAGTAATTTATTGGAGTATAATCATAAATTATTCAAATATTACAACATATCAATCCATCGAGTGCCATATTATTAAGACTTCGCTCTTTCTTAATTGAATATCGACAGGCTGGCAGTTTTACACGTGATACAATTTTCGTCTTATCGATATCGATGTTTTCCTTCTTCTAAGTAACCATACGTTTGCGCAATCGGATACTGGGGTTAATTATTTGTAAAATAACGAAGCGTAAGCCGACGACGATGAATATAATGAACGGTCAAACCGGATTTAACGCAAAATAGGCTGATTAATAAAGGGATTGGGCCACAATGCATATTTCGAAACGCAAACGTCACGTGAAATGGAAGCGACACGGTTCATTAATTTCTCAGCAACAATGACGTCACGGATTTTGAAAAGTTGACGGGACGAAACACGCGCGTGTTTTCGCCATAGTATATATATATCAGATACATGTATACCTCGAGTCATATGATGAAAAAAAAGTTTTCCGTCATTTTTTTTTTTCTTTCCTTTTTTTGTGCATTGTACCGACAATACTCAATAGTAATTTTTTTTTCCAGAATGGAATTATGCGTTGCCTGTAATCCGCACTAGTCGCAATTGAAAGGATGAATAAATAAAACGAACAATAAAAAAACAAGAAAAAAACGGGGAAACACATGGAAAGGTTAAAAACGAGAAATTTGGATAGAAAGCAGATTTTCTGTGGAGAGTATGTTGAGAATTTTTTTTTTCATTTATGTATTTCTTTTCTTTTTTTCATTTTTATTCTTTTTTTTTTTCCGGTTGTGACGGGCACAAATCTCAAACACAATGGCGTGCGGTCACAGTGGTGGCTAATGAACATTCACAATACAACTCTCCTGATGTTACTGCCTACAATATTGCGATCCATATCATTTGAGCGCCACAGAAGCTGACAAGCTGGCATGTCTGACAATGAGTCGTAGCGGAAAGATATCGCGAACAATTACTCGAAGCTTTATATTCCCCGAGGGGATTAAGGGCGATATTGCCTCTTCATAAGACGGCTTGAAACACAGTATTTTAATTTTTTGTGATCAGCTACTGTGTCTGTGTTGTCCACGTATTTGAAAAATTAATACATCAGACAGTTCTAGTTGTTAAAATATTATTAAACATTAGGTTTCTTGAGTTACATAGAAAAAAGCACTGCCATGTATATAAATTATCGCGTAAGGTATTACATTTCGGAAGTAATGGTATCTAACACTGAGTGATAAAATATGTGTTAAAATTAATTTTTTATCAGTTTCATACATTATTCCTTCTTAATTGTTTGGAAATATCATCTGTAACAGTTATTGATTGAATTATGTATAAATGTTAAAATTTTAGTTACCACATATTTATAATGCGATTTTTTTTTGTTTTATTTAATATAGATTAGGGTTTATTCAAACGAATATAGTAATTTATTCTTTTACATCCATGTTAATTTTTATACTTCGATTAGGGGTAATTGAAGCAGACTTTTTTTGCAATATTAGGAACGGCAATAATTCTTTCTACTTCCAATCGTTAGTAAAAATTTTGTACTGCCATTTATTTAGGAAATATGTAGTTTAAAACTTCGAGTTAGGAATTCAAAAGTTACTCAAATTTTTTTCGTCGTTTATCATAGTAGATAACATTTATTTCTCAGTACAATTTCGTTCCAGTAGCATATTTTTTATCAATTTTATTAAAATTTGCGTTATTGAT